ATCAGGCTTCCAAGAATGAAGCAAACGAAATTGAGACAACTTCTGAAGATAAAATTGAAGAAGTTACTGGGAAGTACTATTTTATATTATGACTGCTTTTTCAAATTTTGTTTACAGATGATAAAATCTAGATCTCTAATTTTTTTAAGCCCAAGCCCCATGGACAATGCAGCTCTTTTCAGTTTTTGCTTATACACAAATCACTCTTTGCAGCTAATTAAGCTGAAAAAGCCTGGGAATAGTTTCAAACAGGTTAATGAATAAAGTTAAAAAAACAAACCCAACCTTTTCTACTAAAAAATCTGTACAAATACTGGTTATATTGATTTTTACCAGGGAATTTCACCTTTTTCTTTAAATCAAAAAGGAAAGTTTAGTCCTGGCCAGGTAGCTCAGTTGGTTGGAGCATTGTCTTGTACACCAAAAATATGGGTTTGATCCCTCGCTGGGGCATGTGTGGAGGCAACCAACTGATGTTTCCCTTTTACATGGAGGTTTCTTTTTTCTCTCTCTAAAATCAATTAAAAAACATATCCTCGGGTAAGGATTAAAAAAACACAGTGAATACATACTTTAGTAGAACCAAAAAAAAAAATTGAGGTTTCCTTCTAAAATAAAAATAAAAATAAAAACTAAAAGTTCATGCCGAAACCGGTTTGGCTCAGTGGTAGAGCCTCGGTCTGCGGACTGAAAGGTCCCGGGTTCAATTCTGGTCAAGGGCATGTACATTGGTTGCGGACGTTTCTAGCTCTCTATCTCTCTCCCTTCCTCTCTGTAAAAAAATCAATAAAATATATTTTTTTTAAAAACAAACCTAAAAGTTCAGAGGTAGTAGAATCCATGCTATGTAATTTTTTATGCCTTTACTGTTAATTTTTTTAGATAAATTATTCTATACATCTTATATAGTTAATAGTCTTAAATGTTCTTCTAAAGAGTTCTGTCTAGAGCAGTGGTTGTCAATATGTTGTAATGTCTAAGGACATTTTTAATTGATACAACTGGCAAAAAAAAAGAAGATAGGGAGGTGGGGGGAGAGCTGGCTGTGCTACTATCTAGAATAATCTAGATCAAATATGTTAAGTATATATTAAGTTATAACAGACATAACAATCCACTTAATTGCTTAAGGAAAACTTATACAATAGTAGTATACATGAAATCAACTTGTTAATGCCATAGATTTAAATATTACTTATGAATATCCTAGAAAATGTTAGCAAAATATAGTTACAATTTGAAAAAACTATAGATACCATTAAGCACAAGAATAAGAGCTTCAAATTTTAAAATATTTTGCATAATGAAATTGAAGTAAATCTTTCAAATTAATTACAGGTAACACTTATTTTATGTTTAAACTAACAATTAAATTAGGTTGTGTTTAGCCCTGGCCAGTGTACTAAGAGCATTGCCTGTGCACTGAAGGGTCTCGGGTTCCATTCTGGGTCAAGGGCACATACCTGGGTTGCAGGATGCAATGATGAGGTCCCTCAACCAGGCCTGCGCCCTCTCACAATCCAGGAAGACTTGGGTGTTTGTCAGAGAGCCAGTTTCGGCCCAATACACACACACACACACACACACACACACACACACACACCTCCCCTCGCAGGCCAGGTTAAGGGACCCCACCAATGCACAAATCTGGGCCTCTAGTATAATATAAGCATAAGCAGACCTAGATCCTAATCCCAAAGCTATATGTTTACAGATAAATAATTTAACTTCTCTGAATCTCAATTTCTACACCTAAGAAATAAAAAAATCTAACTCAAAAACCAGTTGAGAATTAGCAAAAATTTATAAACAAATGGTACTGAAAACGACTCTACAAATGGTAATTGACATTAAATATTAACCTATGAATACAAATTATAGTTTTGTCCTCAATATCAACAACTCACTTATGTAATTTGACTCACAGAATAACTACAGAATGTACTTTAAAGCAATTTTCCACTCCTAGCAACTTTACCTACAATTCTCGATTTAAAAATTAGTATCTGACAAAGGATGACTTTTCAAACAGTCTCAAGGAAAAATGGCCTAGATGATGCTTTTACTATTTTATTTATTTTGACTAAATAACATATTCACATGCCTCAAAATTTAAAAGGGATCTTTTGATGCCTGTTGCCCCTTACACCAATTACCGTACACAGAAGCAATTAATCTTACCAATTTCTTATTAATTCACTTATAAAAATACACACTTTCCCCACTTCTGATACAAATGGTATCCTCCTCCACCTATTCTGCACCTCACTTTTCACATTTTTTTTCCTTGATGTTTATATTTTTAATTAACAACACATTCCAAATATGGCCACTTATAACTTCTTATGGCCAGAATTCACCAAACATTAGCATTCTTTACAAAGGCACTCAAAAGGCAAAAACAAAATAAAATCCTTAAATCAACCCAGTATTCTTAGCAAAACAAGCATATGAAACCCAAACTTTCGTAAACTGGACACTTACATAGGTGACATAATCAAAAACTTGATTTCTTAACCAGCCACTTAAAGACTCTGCATTTTAAAAACAACACATGGCCTGGTTTTGCTCAGTGGATAAGACCATTGGCCTGTGGACTGAAGGGTGCCAGGTTCGAATCCGGTCAAGAGCACATGCCTGGGTTGCAAGCTCTAACCCCATTAGGGGGTGTGTAGGAGGCAGCCGATCAATGATTCTCTCTCATCATTGATGTTTCTATCTCTCTCTCATTCTCCCTTCTTCTCTAAAATAAAAATATATTAAAAACAAACAACAACAAAAGAACACACACATGAACTGTACTACAAGTCCTTCATTGAGTTGAAAATAATTCACTTTTAGAACTGGCCTTATACAGATGAAATAAAATATTGGTGCAAACAAAGCTATTGGTTGGTTATATTCCAAAATTAAGTTATCTGACTCTAAGAATAAGAATATCATGGTGAAAAGTTGAGAGTCCTTACCACTTTTAAGTAACAGAACATATAGATTACAAGTTTAATATTAAGTTTTAGGCTTGTGCAATCTTATAGAAGAAATGTTTGGGGCTGTTGGCAAAATATTTGCTGCAATGTTTCATTACAAATATATATGTTAACTATCCTAGAATATATTTTCTTATTAAATAAAAAAATAAAGTCATTGTTTGACTGCATATCAGATGACTACTTCTGCACTGTACCACAAAAATACAAAGTCATCCTTCCATTCAGAATTTTGGCACTAGAACAGAGAGGTCAGAGTTCATACACATGCTCTGTAAAACTGATTATACTATATACCACTACATTCGATAAATATGCTTGTATCTGTAATTTTTATATAGTTTTAAACTATTTTCTCCATGTCTAATTGGAAAGATATGTAAACACCCTTATAAACTCAAAAGCACAAATAAAACTCAAGTGCTATCAGATATACAGGGGTGGGCAAAAATAAGTTTATCGTGTTCCTATGGAAAAAAAGACGTGCAGGTTATGATTATTACAATAGCTTTATGAACTCAAAAGAATGACACAGTAAACCTACTTTTGTCCACCCCTGCATGTATTTCAATTACTCACCACATACTTAGAATGCTGAATTTCACAAATCATTGCGATTATAAAAATACCAAGAGAAAAATACAAACAGCAATCATATATTCAATAATGGTATCTGACAACTTGAAAATAACAACCATTTCAGCTTTTTAATCTTCCTTTGTTAACTCCAAGAAGGAAAAACAACCTGGCATTCTTAAACTGGGTATGGAAAATTGTACTGATACTCGCATGGTTTTGAGTCAAGTTACCAGAACATTTTGAGTTATCTTATATAAACAAATGTGGCCAACACTAGAGTATCTAAATTCTGCAGGACTCAAGAGAAGCTTCATACAAAAACATTTTTTTTTAGTCAACTCAGGTATGTTATAATACACCCTTCTCACTTAAAAAAAAAAAAAAAAAAAAAGGAGATATCACAATGTGCTCATCAGGTGAAACCTCAGGTTTTAAACAGGACCCTTTCAAGAGCAAGAATCAACAATGAGGGGCACATCATAATGAAGTTTCATGGCACAACTCAGTCACAGAGGCATTGTCTTGGGAGAGGCTCTCTCATCAGTTACTTCTGTAACTTATGTTTTGAAATGAGCTTATTATACACTCCATTTTTTCCTTCCCGGTTAAAAATACTTAAATGCCTCTAATCCACCAAAACAACTTTCCTTTCCCCAAGTGAAAAGCTTTAGGTGTCAATAGAAAAAGGAGCAGCCTAGGAGTTGGAGGTAAATGACCTGGTGTGGAATGAATACCTTCTCCCAGGTGAAAATCCCCTCCTCTCCCTTCACTTCAAACATCATAGCATCCCAGTAGGTCCCCTTCCTTCTCTCCCCACACCCCCAACGAAGAGGGGCTAACTCTGAACGCCCTCCTCCTCTCATCCATACCCAGGAATTCATTCTCACAGCTCCGTCCCCTGCCGAGAGGACGGCACAGGCTATCATCTCACCCAGAATATACCCTCAAAAGTGTGGGCCTTCGAGCACCGCGGCTCCCCGGATCCAGTTACCTTTCCCCTTCCCCCTTCCCCCAGCCCACTTCCCGGGTTTTCTCAGGGTTTCCTCAGGCTCGGCCTGCTCCCCCCTCTCCACCCTACAGCCACCCTCCGAGCTGCGGCCACTGCCTGGGGCTCTCTCTGGAGCTCACACCCCGCCGACAAGGACCCCTTTCCGCATCTGCCCCCCAAAAAAACTGTGTTCTCCTCCACAACCCTCACCCGCGAGCCTGTCCATCCCAGGGCCCCGGGAGCGGAGGGGAGGGGAAGGCGGCGGAGCGAGAGGGGGTGGAGGAGGCGGCTGCTGGTTCCTCTCAGGCAGAAGGGCGGCCCGCGAGAAGGGGCGCCCGGGGTGAGCCGGGGACTCATTGGAAGGCGCCGCCGCAGCCGCCGGCAGGGCCCTCCCGCCCGCCCGGGGCTGAGGTAGGTGGGGGGATGTCCCGGAGTTCATTCCTGACCTCCTCGCTCTTCAGCACCTCCTTGAACTCCCGCTTGATTCGCTGCACCGCGATGTTGGCCATGTCTCCGCCCGCAGCTGACTCGTACCCGCCTCCTCCTCCTCCTCCGCCACCGCTACGACGACCACCGCCACCGCCGCCGCCACCTCTTCCTCCGCCGCCTCCTCCCCCGGCGATTCAGCCCCGAGCACACGAACGCCGCCGCTGCCACTGCCACCCCGGCCGCCGCGCTCTCCTCAGTGTGGAATCACCTCCGCGCCGGGCCACCAAAATGGCGCCGGGGCCGCGCATGCGCACGACGCTGGCCTGGCCGGTCGGCGCGGCCGCTCCCGTCTGTAGCGCCATACGCCCCGCCGCCGCGCCGCCGCGCGTCTGGGAGCCGCGGCCCGAGGCTCCGCCCCGCGGGCGTCTGGGGCCCGGAGGGTGCGGCTTCCGCGCTGGCGGGCCCGGCACGGGCCTCTCGAGCCGTCTCGCCTGCTCCTCCTCCCCGCTTCACGCCGCTGTGGGGTAGGGTCGGGGCAGGCGTCCTCGGAGGCCGGGGTCCGCCGGACGGGGCCCCGCGGCCCGGAGCGCCGCCCGGTGCAGCCCGACCCCGAGCCCGCCGGCCCCCTGTGCGGGGCTGAGCTGAGGGTGTGAGAGCCCACGGCCCATTGCTTGGTGGGATGGTTGGGCCCAGGAAACCCATCATCGCGGTCCGTGTGTTTGTGCTGAAGCCATGGCAGTGCCACTGTTAGTGCCATCGGGCCAGGTCCTAGAAGTCATGGAGTTATTAGGTATGTTCAGTGTTGGGTCCCTTATCAGGTGTACTTGAGACAGGATGTTGACCTTTGACCTACCTAGGTTATACCGAGCCGTGGAACAAAAACCATAGTTTTCTAGTTTGTTTTTTTTTTTATATGTATGTATTTTTAATATATTTTATTGATTTTTTACAGAGAAAAAAAGAGAGAGATAGAAACATCGATCAGCTGCCTCTTGCACACCCTCCACTGGGGATGATGCCCGCAACCAAGGTACATGCCCTTGACCAGAATCTAACCTGAGACCCTTCAGTCCGCAGGCCGACGCTCTATCCACTGAGCCAAACCGGTATAGGCAAAAATATATTCTTATTGATTTCAGAGAAAAAGGGGGAGGGAGAGAGAGAAACATCAATGATGAGAATAATTGATCAGCTGCGTCCTGCACGCCCCACACCAGGGATGCCCCAAAGAGGCATCATGTGCTCTGACCTGAGTGGAACTGTGAGCTCCTGATTCATAAGTTGAGACCCAACCATTGAGCCACCTGGCCAGGGTAAAACTATAGTTTTTAAACGTCAGTGTACAATCAGAATCCATGCACACCTTGTTTTGTGTGTGTGTGTGTGTGGTGTTTTGTTGTTTAAAAAGAGATTGCTGTGCTCCATTCCTAGAGTGAGGGATGAGCCTAATGATTTGCACTTGTAACAAGCCCCCAGATGCTGCTGCTCCTGCTGCTGGTTCAGGGACCACACTATGAGCTGCTAAGGCAATGTGAAAGTGAGAAATGCAGAAATAGATGATTCCTGGGGGAGCAGGGCAGTTTTACCTCCGTAAGCCTATGGCCTCCAACAGTATCAGACTCTAGTAGGCACTCAATAAATAGTAAATGAATAAATGAGTAAAGATAAGAGTAAAGCCGAAACCAGTTTGGCTCAGTGGTAGAGCGTCGGTCTGCGGACTGAAAGGTCCCAGGTTCGATTCCGGTCAAGGGCATGTACATTGGTTGCGGGCACATCCCTGGTAGAGGGTGTGAAAGAGGCAGCTGGTCGATGTTTCTCTCTCATCGACGTTTCTAGCTCTCTATCTCTCTCCCTTCCTCTCTGTAAAAAATCAATAAAATATATTTTAAAAAAAGAAGAAAAAAGAGTAAAGTGTTTTAACAAGTAACATCGAAAGACAATGAAAATGGTTGCTAGTGTCTGCAATAAGTACTGGTGCTGAGAGGTACTTTGAATAGAATATTTGGGATAAATAGTAAACTTTACTTAGAAGTTTACATTTCATTGCACTTTTTTCACCTAACCAACGAATATAGTATTCTATTTTTTAAAAATCACAAATACACTCATCAAAAATTACTGAGATTGTGGCAGCAAAAAAGGAGAAAGCCACAGGAAGTCAGTCATTCAGTAGTGGCACTAAATGGTGGCAAAAAAAATACCCACCATAGGAACCAAGAAGAGATGTTTCATTCCAGCTCTCAGCCAGTTCTCTTGGTTAACCTTGGTTTCCTCATCTCAAAAAGAAGAAAACTGGATTCGATTATCTTTTTCAAGTTTTAAGAATTCAGAATTTGAAATCGTCATCTGAAAACCTTTCCCTAAATAGACTAAAATAAATTATTAAACACACACACACACACACACACACACACACACACACACCCCCCAAAAAAATACTATCAAAAAAGAAAAGAAAAAAACCTTCCAGCAGAGCCCCCTAGTGGTCCTAAAAGGAACCAACTATATAGTATGTGGGTCATGGTACAATGAATTATTCCTATAATATAAATCATGCAATATTATGTGTATTTGTGCCAAAACAATAATTATTTTGAAGTGTGCAAAATTATTTTTACTATTTTACATTTATCACCTCATTCAGACCCTGATCTTCAAAAACTGTGCAATGCTCAAATCACATGAGGACTAGAGGGGTATTGTAATTTCTTTAATGGAAAGAAAGTTGGTAATTTTTAAATGCACATGATCATTGGCTCTAAAATTCCACTTCCAAGTAGTCATTCTACGGTCTTTCCAGAGAATGAGGCTACTACATATTAACTAATATGAGACAACCCTCAAAAATATATTTTAAGGGGGAAAATAGCACTATACTAAATGTAATGTGGTATCCTGAATTGGACTCCAGTACTGAAAGGACATACTAGTGAAATTTGAATATGTTCTGATTTTAATTAATTAATAAGTAATAGTTAATAGTTAATAATTAGTATTAAATATTAATTTAGTTAATAGTACTGTAGCAATATTAATGTCTTAGTTTTGTTTGTTTGTTTTTGTTAGGTCCAAATTTATTTTTATTTAAAAATGCTCAAGAGGCCGAAACCGGTTTGGCTCAGTGGATAGAGCGTCAGCCTGCGGACTGAAGGGTCCGGGGTTCGATTCCGGTTGGGGGCATGTACCTGGGTTGCGGGCACATCCCCAGTGGGGGGTTTGCAGGAGGCAGCTGATCGATGTTTCTCTCCCATCGATGTTTCTAACACTCTATCGCTCTCCCTTCCTCTCTGTAAAAAAGCAATAAAAATATTTTAAAAAATAAATTTTTAAAGAAAGGGAGCTCTTTCAGACCAGAAACCAGCAAACATTCTTCAAGATGAAACACCCTCTTAGTTGTGACATGGTACTATGGTTTTTTAAGATGTTGAAATCAGTAGAAGTATAGAGTATACAAGAATTTCTGAAACATTTCTGTAAATCTAAAATTATTATTTTTTTAAAGTTTACTCTTAAAAAAGCATGCTGGCTCTAGTCAGTTTGGCTGAGTGGATAGATTGTCAGTCCTTGGACTGAAGGGTCGCAGGTTCGATTCCGAGTGCTCAATCCCCAGTAGGGTGCATGCAGGAAGCAGCTGATCAATGATTCTCATAACTGAAATCAATAAAAATAATTTTTTTAAAAAAATGAATATATGAGTCTTTCACTTCAAAGAAAACAACTGGCAGAATTTGTTGCCTACAATAAAATTTAAACCTTCAACTGAAAATTAGTGTTATATATCTGCCACTGTGACTTAACAACTTTCAAACACACTTAAAGACAATTCTGTTTAAATTGGTGGTGATGTTAAACAAATGTGATTGCTTGAAATTATACAGTGAAATGTATTAAAATTTGGAAGATCTGCATAAATCAGTGAAGCAATATTTTCCAAATGACCAACGCAGGATGTTAGAGAATCAGGCATGAGTAAAACACCCATTCAAAGTTCAAGGTAGACCACTGGATTTTAATGTAACAGCGTACAAAAAGTTCATTGATAATATTTCAGATTCCACATTGCTACTAACCTTTAAGAAACTATAATTTGCCAGGACCGGTTTGGCTCAATGGATAGAGCATTGGCTTGGGGTCTCAAGGGCCCCGGGTTCGATTCCGGTCAAGGGCATGTACCTTGGTTGCGGGCATATCCCCAGTAGGGGGTGTGCAAGAGGCAGCTGATCGATGACTCTCTCTCATCGATGTTTCTAACTCTCTAACGCTCTATCTCTCTCCCTTTCTCTCTGTATAAAATCAATAAAATATACTTAAAAAAAACAAAAAAACTATAATTTGCCGGGACCGGTTTGGCTCAATGGATAGAGCGTCGGCTTGGGGACTCAAGGGCCCCGGGTTCGATTCCGGTCAAGGGCATGTACCTTGGTTGCGGGCATATCCCCAGTAGGGATTGTGCAAGAGGCAGCTGATCGGTGACTCTCTCTCATTGATGTTTCTAGCTCTCTGTCTCTCTCCCTTCCTCTCTGTACAAAAATCAATAAAATATATATTTTTTAAAAAAAAGAAAAAGAAACTATAATTTGCCAAAACCGGTTTGGCTCAGTGGATAGAGCGTCAGTCTGCGGACTGAAAGGTCCCAGGTTCGATTCTGGTCAAGAGCATGTACCTTGGTTGTGGGCACATCCCCCATGAGGCGTGTGTAGGAGGCAGCTGATTGTGATTCTCTCTCATCGATGTTTCTAACTCTCTATCCCTCTCCCTTCCTCTCTGTAAAAAAATCAATAAAATATTTTAAAAAAGAAAAGAAAAACAAACTATAATATGTCTAGATTTAGCATATTATTATAGAATAATGTCCACCATTACCTGAAAAAGCTATTAAAATATTCCTTCCCAGCACTGGCCAGTGTGGCTCAGTTGATTGGAGTATTGTCCTGTACACCAAAAGGTGGTGGGTTCAATTCCTGGCCAAGACACATACCTATGTTGAGGGTCTAATCCCAGTCAGTCAGTCAAGTTGTGTGAGGGAGGCAACCGATTGACATGACTCTCTCTCTCTCTCTCTCTCTCTCTCAAAAATCAATAAAATAAAATAAAAATTTTATTTATTTATTTTTAATATATTTTATTGATTTTTTTACAGAGAGGAATTGAGAGGGATAGAGACTTAGAAACATTGATGAGAGAGAGTCATCAATCAGCTGCCTCCTGCACACCTCCCACTGGGGATGTGCCCGCAACCAAGGTACTTGCCTTTGACCGGGATCGAACCTGGGACCTTTCAGTCCGCAGGCTGACACCCTCTCCACTGAGCC